AAGGCTCGGTGGAAGCAAGATTTCTCTTCTCTCCACGTCGTCCAGGCTGGTTCTAGCGCCCACCCTGCCTGCTATGCGAAGGGTACAGGGGGCTCTTTCCCCGGCGGTAAAGCGGCCAGAGTGTGAAGCTGACCGCTCCAATCTAGTTTAGAGGTCAAGATTGTTGTAGCTATACCTCCACTATACCATGTATCTTCATAGCATAATGTTTAATTAATAATACGCGGGGACAACTTTGCCCTTACCATATTTAAATCTTTCTTTCACAACCTGCCACTGTCCCGAAAAGAGGCGTTAATTTACGAGACCTACAATTTGAAATAAAATAGTAAACGCAATTACAAAACTCGTAAGAATTATATCCTAAATCGGTATGTAAGTCAGTGATTTTACTAATACTTCCCTTACAGTAATACATATATATGTCTACCTTCCTGCCCGTCCATCTACCTACCTATCTGTCTATCTATCTATCTACCTACCCACCCGTCCGTCTATCTATCTATCTGTCTGTCTATCTAATCTATCTATCTGTCTATCTATCCGTCTGTCTATCTATCTATCTATCTAATCTATCTATATANATCTATCCGTCTATCTATCTATCTATCTATCTATCTACATCTATCAATCTATCGCCATTCGTTGGACTTTGGCAGCTTTTTCAGTTTCTTAATCCTATACACAGTCGGCGGGACTCATTCGACGGGGGATCAGCCCGTCGCAAGGCCGCTACATACACACAGAGCACAAACAGAATAAACGCACACAGACTATCATGCCTAGAGTGGGATTCGAACCCACGATCCCAGCCTTCGAGCTAGCGAAGACAGTTCATGCCTTAGACCGCGCGGCCACTGTGATCGGCTTTTTAAAATTATCGTTGATAGAAATACTCGTAGAAACGGATTCATGAATTTTGTTTTCAATTTTATTTTCGAAGAAGAAGAATTCCTGGCACGTTTCCAGCGCCGGGTGTTCTATGTTGATGCGACCCGAGGATACAATGGTGCGTATTGATGTTTCGCTTGCCATGCGTCTTTTTGTAATTCGCTAATTGAGCAAAACAGTGTAAGCCGTCCGGCGCGCTCAATTAGTGTCCGAGATTTGCTCGCTGCAGATTAAGTTTGTAGCATGGAGATTTATTCCTGGCTCTTAACTTCTTTCCTGGGATTCTCAATGTCTACACCGCCCTTTATCTGCAGTTCTGTCACTGTGTCTGTGTCGCTTGTAGTTTTATCTTGCGACACCTAGCTTACTCTTCGTGTGCCGAGTTCTGAATCTCTCGAAGGTTACTTTAACAGAATGCACGCGCGGTTGTGAACAAAATTCTGCAGTAGAAGCTTTCATTTTTAGTATCATTTTGATGTGAATGTTGAAGTCAGTCCACGTTACACCTCGTGTGTGGGAACCTTACGGAATAAAAGTGCTATGCCAGTACAATTTAATTTTCCAAAGACTTGCAGAGGTAAAGCTATCCCTGTAACAGGTCGTAGAGACCTATAGGTTTCTGAGACGCCGAGGCTCCCACGTTATCTAGACAATCGGGTCATAGTTGGCGGTAAGGTTGTCAGCCTTACGCCTTGGCCGCCCTTTTTTCCCCAAGAATATTCCTGTTACTCATTTCTGTTAGAGGCTGAGTCGACCCCAGGGCCATAGTGCGGCTGGAAGGATTAGGTAAATTGAAAAAAAATCCAATGACCTCATCGGGAATCGAACCCGTGACCTTCCGGCTTGTAGCGTAGTGCCTCAACCAACTGCTCTACCGCTTGCCCCCTCTCCACTGGCTTGTGAATGGAGGAAATATTTTGAAAATGGAATCTAGTAAATTTCTAATGATGACGTAATGGTCTGTCATGACGATGACGTGCCCTTGTTCCTATGGTACATATAGTATACAACATATGCGCCTATGTGAAGAGAAAATAAAAAAACCGCGAGCGAGGAACCAGCGTGAGCAGTCTGTTAGCACCTGCCCACGCTGGTTCCTCGCTCGCAGATTTCATCTTCTGCTCTTAAGATGGAGGTGTTACGTTCCTCCGAAACGTCGGTTAACACAATATCTACACGGCGCCACATACCAGAAGACTGCTTTCTTCATAGTCACCGCTGTGAAAACCTCAAATCTTGCATTTAGATACAGTTACACACAAATGAAAAAATAATGTAGGGAAAATAGGGAAATGCAGACACTAATTGGCTTAGTGGGGGGTGGAGTCTAACTGGGTCCACTCGGCACGGCGGCCTAGCCTGCCTCGAGTGATTATGATGATAGAGAATTTGGTGGAATGAAGATTGGCAGGAGAAACCGAAGTACTCGGACAAAACCTGCCCCAGCGCCACTTTGTCCACCACAAATCCCACTTGACCAGACCCAGGATCGAACCCGGGCCGCCGTGGTGGGAAGCCAGCGACTAACCGCTTGAGCTGTGGCGCGGCCCAATGCAGACACTAAATGAGAGGCGAATCAACTAATAATGTACGTGAAATGATTTTACAAGATAACGAGGCTGGAGAAAACTGCATAATGAGGAGCTTCATAATTTGTACTTTTCTCCAAGTATAATTAGAATGATGAAGTGAAGGGTTATAATATGGGCAGCGCATGTAACACGCATGAGGGAGAAGAGGAATGTGTATGGGATTCTGACGGGAAAGCCAGAAGCAAACAGAACACTACACATAAATTTGAGGATAATATTAAAATTGACCTTAGGTAGGATGGAGTGGTGTGGACTGGATTGATGTGGCTCAGGATAGGGTTCAGTGCAGGGCTCTTGTGAAAACGGTAATGAAACTTCCATAAATTGCCTGGAAGTTCTTGAGTAGCTGCGCAACTGTCGGCTTCTCAAGAAGGGCTCAGCTCCGTGGAGTTATAGTAACAACCAGTCTCGTATAACAGTGTAAAATTAACTCAAGTTTTAACTCTGTTATGTTCTTGTCAGTTCTGTACCTCCACTTCCCCTTACCGTCACCGCATGGTGCTTATTTAGTAACAGGGAAAACCTTAACTTATAAACCGATTTTGACGTGCTTACTGTGGTATCTGAACCACCGTTTAATAACAGATCCATACATAATAATACATACACATAAATTAAAATTATAATTCCCATACATAAAACATAATATACACTGTCATTAATTGCTTCTAGTTTTCACCGTACAACATATCTTTGTAATGTTCACGGGACTTGCGAATTCATTTCACGTTGTCATTGTCTCGATAGGCCACTTTTATGTCACTGGTAAGTATCATCACCACCGTTTACATATTTTTGAAGGAATTCTTTGAAATCTTTTGTAAAAGCTACCACAGCTCGTAGCTCGTAGATACGTACCATAACGAAACGTCGTGTTCGTTAAAAAGGCGAAGAATTTATTAACTGGCTTTGTGACTGCTAGTTTCTTGAGGGCTCTGCTCAATGGAATTGATTCACTGCTGTCATATTAAAATGTAAATATACAGAGCGTTCAATCAAAGAGGAAACTTCGCAACACCGTTGACCGGGCCCAATATTCCTCGCAGATTGCCGCTGTAACTGTAACGGCGCGCGTTTATCAGCGCTAATGACTCATTCTGCTATCAGCAGTTACAGCAGCAATCTGTGAGGAATGTTGTGCCGGGTCAGTGGTGTTGCCAAGTTTCCGCCTTAACTGATCGCACTGTATTAAGGACACAATATTTTGATTTCGTTTTATTCGCACATATAGAATTTATTTGCAACAAGTAGGTGGACATAGTTCTTGCAGAAAATTCTTGATACCAAGAAATGTTTCCTGAAATGTACACGTGTCGCGCGCGGTGCTCCGAAATTCATTCCGCAATTCCAAATCCGCAGATTGCAAAAGCATTTATTTCCTAAACTGTAGGAGAGAAAAGAATTGTTTCCCGTGTTGATAGGCCCATTATTTCGTATAATATACATCACTGCAAATTCCTGGTACTCATTTCTGCTAGAGGCTGAATCGACCCCAGGACCATAGTGCGGCTGCAAGAATTAGATCAACTGAAAAAGTCCAATGATCATATTGGAATCGAACCCGCGACCTTCCGGCTTGTAGCATAGTGCCTCAACCAACCACGCTACCGCAGTGGATCCGACTAAATATCCACTCTGCATCCTCCTGAGAAGGGCCAGGTATAAAAACATGGACAGTACTGGACGACCAGGGTCTGTTACCGACAGGGTCAAGGATTATTGTCTTTGCCATAATATCTACGCGGTAAAGCCCTCTGTGCCGCGTATCCAGCGGGTACCGAGGAAGTTTCCACAACGGCAAAATTAAATTCTTGCGCCGTGCTTCTAGACAAAGTAGTGAAGACCAATGCTGCATAACTTTACCATTCGGTGATTCAGTTTTCTCTGAAGGTAAAGTTGTACCTGTACTTAACTAATTAAGCCCTACGCCACGGAGGCGTATGGGGGAGTGGATGTGTAGATCCACGTTTTCTTGACCTCGGCACTAGTTGGAGGTGAGTGGTCTCTTTCACGCCCCGGCCGCTTTACCCCAGGGGAAACAGCCCCCGGTACCCATTGGATAGGAGACTGGGTGAGCCCCAGAGCCGGTCCGGACATGAAAAGAATATTCTTGACCCTACCGGGGCTCGAAATCCGACCCCTCAGTCGTCCAGCCCGTTGCCAGTCGCTATTCCAGATGCTTCAGTTTTCTGTACTAAGCGTTGTCGACATTAAAATTTAGCGTCTAAAAAAATGTACTGTAAGTGAACGTACGTCTCTCATTATGACGTCATGATTATGGGACTTCCTAAATGACCTAATTCTTTATGAAAAATGTCCTACTGAACAAGTGCTGGGTAGTTACCTTTTCAAGATCCATTCCATATTCTCAGAATAAATTTTTTACCCTAGTTAGGGCAGGTTCAAAATGGATCTTAGAGAGATGTGATGGGATGGTATGGATTGGATTGATCTGGATCAGGATAGGGACCAGTGGAGGGCTCTTGTGAACACGGTAATGAACCATCTGGTTCCATAAAATGCTGGGAAGTTCTTGAATGGCTGCACAACTGGCGGCTTCTCAAGAAGGGCTCAGCTCCACGAGTGAGTTTTCCAGAGTTTCTGTCGGTGGATTCCAAACAGGCCAGAGTGGTCTAGCGGTTAAGCTCTATATTTGTAATCGGGAACTGATCGGTTCGACTCTCGGACGGGATGTCGTCTATTTTGACCAAAGTTTTTCGTGCTTTTCTTCAGTTCCTCAAGGTAATTTTTAAGGAAGCACCTCGATTAAGATACGACCGTATCCATTCAAATCCTTTCTTGTTCATCATTCATCAATCAGGCTACTGTTCAGCACTCTATAGTCTAAATGTTGACAATGTCATAGAATAACCCACACAGAAAAAATAGAATAATTCTCGAAGAATACTAGAAAACAGGCTCCGATTTCTTCCCTCTTACTCCTTTAAATTTCACTGTACATATTCACATATTAATTTCATTTGTTAGTTGAGAGAGCATCGTTTATACAGTATGCAAAATGTTGTTCCCCCAAATCACCGGACTTCCTTCAGGTTGATATATTCTTGTTTGTCCAGTTTGGTAGTTATTGTACATATTGATCCCCTCATTCCATTCGTCAGCTGATGATGGATCGCTTACATAATACGCAAAAATTAATGTCCCCCCAAATCACCGGACTTCTTTCAGAATAGATTTGGTTGTACAGTTGGATAGTTTCGTAATTCTTTTCTTTTTTCGTCAAGCTTTTTATAGATTCCGCAAGAGTTAAACTCCAGGATCCATTGCTGGCTATCACTGTGGTAGAGTTCTAGGTCCGGCTTATTCACCGGGAGGATGTTCTCTGAAGATCCGGGGTAGTTTGAGCAGTTGTCTAGGGTGTGTTCAGGAATAGTGGCCTCTCTCTGGTGGTGGTGACACTTAGCTCAGCATCACAACTCCATCTCCCACTCGGCTTGAGAGATATCGTAAGAACAAGGCGACCTCTCTCCCGAGTCGGGTTTTGAGATCATTTCTTCCGATGGCATAACTCCTGCCGTTCGCATATCGTCACGGACCTGGGCAAAAAATAGACATCACATGTAATTTGTAAAGTATTTAACACTTTAAGATCTGCGAATAGAATTTTCTGACGTAAATTTTCCTCTGTTAGATAACCTTAGTTAGGGATTTCCGATGTGATATAGGATTTAGTAACAAGTGGAGTCTTCGTGTCAGCCCCTTTGATGACTTCTTCGCAGATCTGGACAAAAATCAAATATCACGAACAATGGAGATCCATTAATTCTCATCTTAATAAAAATATAAGTTTCAAAATCGCATGATTCTTCAAACATTTATCACTATTATATAATTTAAGATCATACAAACTTAAGATCCGTCGGCCATAATGGTGGTAATGTTGGTGAAAGGGAATTGGAGACTACAAGAGTGGGGTGANTCCGTGCCTAGTGGACCCAACTGGACTCCACCCCCACTATGCGAATTTAAATACAAGACTAAAGAAGGTAAGAGGAACCCGATGAAAAGGAATGGAGACTGAATGATACAGTTTCCGTAGATGACTCATTAAACTCTCACTGTATGAATAAGTTATTTCAAACCTGAAGGAACCTTCTTTATGAATTCTCCTTGGTGTCTTGGCTGTGGAACCTCGCCTGCTTCAGCAGACGGGCTAATGAATACTGTCTTTCCCTCCGATCAGTACACCCTGTTTAACTGAACATTTTCCACCAGGGATAATTGAGGCGGAATATATTGCTCTCATTGAACTAACTTTGCGAAACTGAATTATCGTTCAACGAGACGGGAAGGAGCTAATGCACGGTTTGAATTGGTAAGGATACACCGAGCGGGTTGCAGAAGGGGCAGGGCTCTACGACTATATTACTTAAGTGCTTGGTTCGAATCACCGCCTCTGTGATCTAGTGGTCAGAGTTCCTGGCTACAGATCCAGAGGTCCCGGGTTTGATTCCAGGCGCTACCAGATTTTCTGAGAAGTAGTGGGTCTGGAACGGGGTCCACTCAGCCTCTTGGGGATAATTGAGGAGCTGTTTCAAGGAATAGCGACTCCGGTTTAGAAAACCGGGATTAACGGCCGTGGGAATTCGTTGCGCTGAACATGCAACACCCTCTATCCGTTAGAGTCGGCACTAACTTCGCCGACAAAGGGCGGTCGCTCGGTCGGTATAGTTCGCTTGCGGACTATAGGCCACGGAGTTTAAAGGGTGGAAATGATCGGGAAATATGATAGTTACGCACTTGAACTAATGGTTTATTATGTTATTTAACAACGCTTTTCAGACACACAGGTTGTACAGGATTGAATGAGACTGGAAGAAGATTTCGCTCGAGGATCTCAGAGTAAGGGTCTGACAGCCAAATAAAACCCATGTTTTAAAACAAATATTTTGGATTATGGATTTGAGGTTCTTACTCCTGTGACTTCATAATATGGTATTCTGCCTTCTAACGTTTTGTATTTAGGATAGAGCTGGACGTTTTGGACGAATATATTGCCTCCATCTTCAGGACAGAAGAGTAAGCCAAGCAAGATACCATCAGAATCCGGCATCGAGCATAGCTTTCCGATTTCTTGATTGGCTTATTCTTCGACCCTGAAGATGACAGTGATATATTCCGCCGAAACGTCGGTATCTTCCTGAACTATACGATGTTACAACCCAGAAAACCGCACTATAGTCTGTGTTTGAAGTCGCTACGATTCGGATATTGTTTCTATTTCCGTCTTCACGAGGAAATGATACAAATGCCGCTTCGGTAATTTCGTTTAAGAATAACTCCATCGAGGGGCCTAACAGATTGAGTTTATCTTTTCATATCCTGCATATCTGAGGACGAAAGTAGAATCGATTTTCGAAAGACTGCGGTCTTGAAAAACTCACGCGAGTCCAGAGTAATATTTTTATACAGAGGATCGTTGGTAAAAAAACCGAGGTGAATATTTTTGTTTTATTTTTTGATTTATTTAAAGACTACGTCAATTGTTCACACTACATAGTATGACACTGTGAGATAAATAATGATTGGGAAGGCATATGGAACGAAGCAGTCCTGACTCAAGGTACTATACCGGAGTTTGCCTACGGGTACTTAAGAGAACAGCCATAACCCTCAGTCAGGATATTTGTTGCCCTGGACGAGATCTGAACCCGAGTGCTTCCTGAATACATTTCAAAACTGTTAGCGCTCACGATAACTTGCTAGGTCAGACTGCATTTGAACATTGCAACATTTAGTCTCGATATTGCCATGTTCTTATCATCCCACATGTAATTCATTGCTGTATCTGAGCTACATAACTTGTACTCTTCTCCAAGCATAATTTTGAATGATAAAGTCAAGGAGGATGAGGTGGGCAGGGCATGTAGCACGAATTGGGGAGGCGAGGAATGCATATAGGGTATTGGTGGGAATGACAGAAGGAAAGAGAACACAGGGAAGACCAAGGCGTAGGTATGTAGACAATATTAAAATGAATCTTAGAGAGATAGAATGGGATAGTATGAATTGGATTGATGTGGCTCAGGATAAGGACCAGTGGAGGGCTCTTGTGAACACGGCAATGAATCTTGGAGTTCCATAAAATGGTGGGAAATTCTTGAGTAGCTGCAGAATTGGCGGCTCCTCAAGAACGGCTCAGCTCCATGAGTAATCAAGCATCTGTATATGCTCGTAAACTGTATAGCTTTTTTGTTTCTTCCCGATCTATATCGTTCTTGTGAATAAGGTTATGAGGTTACATCTGTTTCTGAAACTGTATGTACTTCTGTGCGCTTGCTTCTGGGAAGTTCCGGATTTGTGGGCAGACGAGCTGAAACCAAGACCGCAGCACAATTCTCCATATCTCCCTATCGTCTGTGACTATTTCTCTCTCCATTCTTTATGACTTTGTCGTACCTCACTTGATCTTTGTCTCTTAGTCTGCTTCCAGCTCTTGCTCAAGCCTGGATCTACAAATTGATCTAATTCCACTGAAAGAGTACAGCGCGGATTCAAATTGCTGCCGATTCATTCTCGAATGTTTCGGACATGGTACAAACTGCACAGGTTTCTGTTAATTATTCACGCAAAATTGGATGGGTGGGGGGGAATTTGGGCAGCCAATATAGTGAGAGGCCGGCCACGGTACCCGAGCGGTCTAAGGCATGTACTGTCTTCGCTCGCTTGGAAATCGGGATTGTGGGTTCGAATCCCACTCAGGGCATGGATGTTTAGTTTGGTGTGTGCGTCTTTCTGTGTTTGTGTACAGGTAGAGGCCTTGCGACGAGCTGATCACCCGCCCAAGGAGTCCTACCGAATGTGTAAGATCTAGAAAAACCGAAATGACCGGAGAAGTTCATGGAGGTAGGCCTAGGCCCACTGAGGCCATGTACGAGTATAGACAAACCAGTTTATTGCTATACGATGTTCATGCATTTATAATTTTTACTTTTTCCTATATGCAGGCCTAATAAATGGAAGCATGAGTGGCATTTAGGGTCCAAAATTCTTTCTAGAACAACAGCTCAGTCGGTATTGAGGTCAACCTGTTTTAACGTTACATTTCCGGTAGAGACAAATGTATTTCTCTTTTATATAGCGTTCAGATTGACCTTGGGGTTCTTCCGGTCTCATATCCAACGGCTGCCAACGGGTCTTTCTTAGGGGTAAAGCGGTAGGAGCGTGAAACTGACCACTCACTTTCATCTAATGCTGTGTTTCCCGTACATCTTCATGAACTGGTGTTTCATCAACTGCAGGGATGTGTATCTTGAACCAGAACATGGTTGTAGGGAAGTTATTGATGGAGAATTATCATCTCGCTGATGCTATGGGATTATATTGGAAACTTTATCGGCGAAGTTGCAAATTACGATATGAGAGGGGGACTGGAAGCCCAACGTTGCTATTCTGTGCGACGTATCCTGCTGAGGCACGGGATAAAGTACAGAGCCTAGAACTTCGTGAAATCTTATACAAGAGAAAGGCTCTGAAAACTTAGGAAGTAATAGGGGTTCGGAAGGCGGGGGGAGGAGATTTTAACTTCATCGACAAAATGGGCACTGGATAAAAAGGTAAAGAAAAAAAGGGAGAAAACTTTTAGAGTTAAGATTTCAGAGTGTCGTGTCGCAACGCAACCAACAACTGTTAAGTTGACTTGTTGGATTGGATTCGATTAGAGCCTCATCACAGGAACGATCCAATATTAAACTGCAATTTTTTTCTTACATTTATTATTAACCCTTCGAAATAGGGGAATTAATATAATATTATGATATGACGCCTGAAAGTCGAATAATATTTTTGCTAGGCAACAGCTCGGTAAATACATACCCTCGGAAGCGATCACACTAAAATATAGAGGAAGTGGTGTTTTCTGTGGGGGCCGCCCCAAGGCTATATAAGGAGGATATAACGCAGCTAGAATGACATAAGATAGACATGATCTACTCTGTAAAGCCTGTATTGACAGAGAACTTGCTATATGTGCGAAAGTGCATTTGATTGAAGGTCAAGCATGTTCATAAGAGACGACCCAATTTTAAGGCCAGTGAGAATGTTATGTATGGGCTACGATAGAAAGGGTTCAGTTTCCAACAAATAAAATCTCTGGTCACGTCTCAAGGAGCTTGGCGCCAAGACGGAACTGATCGGCGGTAAACCGCCAGCGGGAAAGGAATTTTGACTTTGAATTTGACTTTGACTTTGAGTTGATCCAGTCTGAAGGCGGGGTCGAATACCTCCATCTTATCTCTGCGAGTCGCAGGAGGCGATGAGAAGGGAACCCAGTGCCTGGGGGTATAACCGGGCCACCCTGTTCCTGGGGGATATAAATACGGGGACCTGGCCCTCCAGGTTGTGGGAGTCTCGAATCTGAGTCGGTAGAATATGGTCATGAGTACAGCGCTGGCGAGGACCAGCAGTAATTCTATGTAATATAGCCGCAAGTGTTCAGTTGAAAAATAAAATTACTGATCGTGAGTCTCAAGGGGATTGTCGTCAAGATGAACTGATTGGTGGTAAATCACCAGTCGTAAAGTAATTTTGACTCTGATTCTGACTAGAATGACAATTGAGTTGAGTGTCGAAAGTTAGAATTTGGCAGAATACTGGTAAGAGATGAATTAGGCTGTGAAAACAAGACTTCGTCATGTGCGATTTGAAGTGAGACCGTTATAAATCCGTTGCCAGGATACGACTAGTAAAGACTGAGAACCCTAGTGTGTGTGCAGCGGTTAAATATAAAAGCGCTGTATTGCTTGTAGTCCCGAGAGGATTGTATTAGGTGTCAATAAATCCAATCATCCAACCCAAAACCCCGTCTAAAAGTAACAAACTCCCTACATGTCACAACATTTAGTTAACATAGAGGCTGTTACCTTTTCTACTTTGGCAAATACTCTCAGTAAGTTGAGCCCGGCCACTTTTTTTAAGTCTCCGACTGTCCAGTGTCCGCTTCTTAAGAGTTCAGCGAAGAGTTCAGGATACATAGAGACGTCCTCTAAGCCTCGCGGTGTCCTGAAAGTAAAACAAGAGTGAAACTGCTTGCCGAAGGACTACGTCTCCTAGGTTTTATACAGGGTGATTCTTTAGGAAGAGACCCAGAATTATTAATTATAAATCATGCACTCGTTTACAGGCGAAAAAGATATTGGCAACATTTTGTACTTAATATTACTGATCCGGTGACGGCCTGCCCGGCTTGTGCCATTTTCGTCAGTCTGTGATACCACGTGATCATTCTTGTCATCGTGGGTGTAACAATTACGAACGTGGAGCGTCGTATCAGCTTGCGTCTCTGGGCCGAGGGAAACTAATCTCAGCAACCTCTGTAAGCCAATTACCTCCACATCTACCTAAGTGTATAGGCTATTTCCTACGTTTCGTCTTCGATAATATATTATGTTGTTTATAATTATTCAATTGGGGCCTCCTCCCAAGTGAATCACCCTGTATATATATATATATATATATATATAACGCTAAAAGATGTACCTGAATGGAGACCTCTTGGTGTTTTGTGTTTACTGCAAATATAAATATATTGCAAAGCAGTCGTAGTTTGTATTGCCTGGGCTGCGGAGTACACGACCGAGGAACCAGGTTTGTTTCTCGGCGTCGGCAGAGATATTTTTCTTCGCCACAGTGTTCATATCGACTATGGTGAAGAACCAGTCTCGTATCGAATGGGTACCGAGGCTTCTTTCTCCATGTTAAAGCGGTCTGAGCGTGAAGCTGGATGCTCACTTCCATGTAGTGTCCAGATTAAGAAAACGCCAAGCTATATCTCATGTTCCCATATATTTTCATGGCCTGATGCTGAATTAAACACAGGCACAATTTTACTTTTACCTTTACATATAAAGTTGTCCCTGTGCTTAACTAATTAAGCACTACGCCATGAAGGTATATCGGGGAGTGGATGTATAGATCCACATTTTCTCGACCTCGGCACTAGCTGGAGGTGAGTTGTCAGTTTCACTCCCCGGCCGCTTTAACCCCGGGGAAAGAGCCCATGGTACCCATTAGATAGGAGGTTGGCTGTGCCCCAGAGCCGGCCTGGACGACGTGGAGGAGAGAGAATCCTTGACCCTACCGGGACTCGAACTCCGACTCCTCGGTCGTCCATCCCGTAGCCAGTAGCTATACCGACTGAGCTATCCCGACTCCCACCTTTATATATATATATATGTTGTTAAACATTTTATCACCCTGTAGATATTTTATACCACACTGCACAAAGCAAAAAAATATTTTTCGAAACGGCAGTAAATTTATCTATGGTGTTGTACGTTCTTTATAGTGAAGGCGATCACAAGCTCAAATCCAACATGATAAGAAGTTTTTACCTGTTGATACCATCGAAGTCCCCACCAACACCAATATGGTCCACACCAATCAAGTCTCGAATGTAGCTGATGTGCTCTGAAACCAAAAGAAGGGCCACATTGAGCCGAAGTGTTTGGAGTAAGATCCGGTCAAATTCGGAACTGTCTAAAATGGTAGGCTTGAAAGGATTCTGACGATGGTACTTCTTTTGGCTTGTTTTGGACTTCATCCATCGTCTGGTATGTAAAAGACCACGATGTTTCGAAGACTGGATCTGTCTCCGTCCTTTCTGCCAGTGGGAAAGATAAACCTACTCAAATGGGCCCGTTAGAAAGAGCTCTATTATTATTATTTTGGAGGGGTGGGTTTCCCCATGCACTGCAACTATTTATTGATCTATTGTGCATCCCCTTTTACTTATTCTAGTAGTAGCGATGCCATTCCAGTACTAGTGCTCACTATCAGCCCCTTTCTGCCAGTGAGATCGGCCCTCTACGGAAGTGGTACCCGATACTTCCCCATCTACCGGAGGACTTGTTCCCTGAAATTTTCCGCCCTTAAAAATTTGACGACCTCCGCCGGGTTTGAACCCTCGTACCTTGAACCATGAGGTAGGAACGTTACCCCTAGGCTACGGAGGCCGCTCTAAAAAGAGCTAATCTCACTGATTAGCCAAACTTCGGTCTGTAGAAAACAACATATGAACAACCGACAACCGGTTCCATCAGTGTGAAATAAGAATAAAATCACAGTAAAAGATATGATAGAAAATTTGTGCCAAGCATGCACATGTCAACAATGTAAAAAACAGAAGTATATATTAAATTCCAGGAATTCAGTTAAGAACGAAAGTAAGAACTTGGATAATGCACACCTAATCTGTGTGGATAAAGAATCGAGCCACCACGGCGACTTCCGGGACTCAGACTAATCCCCGGAGCAAAACTTGAGAAGTAGTGGAAGCCATTAATATTCATGAAAACTTGCATTTTTTATTTTTTAACACCTTCTTTTCCTTAGAATATGCCATTAGGAAGGTCCAGGGAAACCAGGTGGGACTGAAATTAAACGGGACACATCAGCTGTTGGTCTACGCCAATGATGTGAATCTGCTGGGTGATAATGTAGATACCATAAGGAAAAACACACAAACTTTAATTGACGCAAGTAAAGAGGTTGGTCTAGAAGCAAACACTGAGAAAACTAAGTATATGTTGCTGTCTCGTCACCAAAATGCAGGGCAAAATCATGATATAAAGATAGGAAACAGATGTTTTGAAAATATGGCACAGTTCAGATATTTGGGAACAACGATAACAGACGAAACCTGATTCAGGAGGAAATTAAGAGGCGACTGAACTCGGGTAATCTTGCTACCATTCAGTCCAGAACCTTCTGTCTTCTCGTCTGTTGTCCAAAAACATAAAAATCAGAATATACAAAGCTATAATTTTGCCTGTGGTCCTCTATTGGTGTGAAACTTGGTCTCTGACATTAAGAGAGGAACATACACGTAGACTGAGGGTGTTTGAGAACAGGGTGCTGAGGAGCATATCTGGACCGAAGAGAGATGAAGTGACAGGAGGTTGGAGAAAACTGCATAATGAGGAGCTTCATAACTTGTACCCTTCTCCAAGTATAATTAGAATGATCAAGTCAAGGAGGATGAGGTGGGCAGGTCATGTAGCACGAATGGGGGAGACGAGGAATGCGTATAGGATATTGGTGGGGGATCGCCAGAAGGAAAGAGATCACTAGAAAGGCCCAGACGTAGGCGATAGGATAATATTAAAATGGATCTTAGAGACATAGGAAGGGGTGGTATGTACTGGATTGATCTGGGGAAGGGCCCTTGTGAACACGGTAATGAACTTTCGGATTTCTTAATTTGTTGTGAAATTTTTGAGTGGTTAAGCAGCTGGCGGTTTCTCAAGCACGGCTCAGGTTCAGGGTGTTAATAATAATAATGAGGTAAAAAATATAAAGTTATCCCTGTAACAGGCCGTGAAGGCCCACATGGTTGTGAGACGTCGATGTTCCTACATTTTCTAGACAATCGGCTCACAGATGGCGGTGAGGTTGTCAGCCTTACGCGCCGACCGCCCTTTACGCCCCAGGAAGATTCCTGGTACTTATTTCTGTTACACGCCGAGTCGACCTCAGGGCCATAGTGCGGTTGGAAGAATTAGGTCAACTGAAAAAACCATGACCTCATCGGGAATCGAACCCCCCCGCGATATTCCGGCTTGTAGCGTAGTCCCTCGACCAACTACTCTACTGCATGCCCCAATAATAATAACAATAATAATAATAATAATAATAATAATAATAATAATAATAATAATAATAATAATAATTCTGATACTGTCAACGGTAACGTGATCTAAAAGCAAGTGATGAAATTTGCAGCTTGGCAATTAGTCTGCGATGTAAGTGCGATCAGCTCCAATTAGGGACATCTCTGGGAACTGCCTCACACAAAATTCAATTTGAGCATCACGTAACTAATGAATAAACGCCACTGGTCCCAGTAATCTCCACTGTACGTAGCGCATTCTGGTGTTATTGAATTAAGTGTAACGAAACACCTGCCACACGCACTCGATACCATTTCCGTTCTAATTCGATTAATCGACCACTGATATCGATGTGCTGTAATTAGTCTATCGATCTTCGTGCATCTTTTGGATTTACAGTGAAATACCACTGCGATATTCTGCTTCACTCTACTGTTACGTCACTATTAATCTTCAGTGAGTGAGTGTTTTGACTGTCTAGCTGTAACGTTGCTTTTGGACGGTGAGAACACTCACCCACTGAAGATTAATACTATTGTGGTTTGCACTTCATGCAAATGGCCGGTGTCACGGTAGCCGAGTGGTCTAGGGCATGAACTGTTTGGCTAGCTCGGAAATCGGGATCATGGGTTCGAATCTCACACAATGCATGGTGGGTATGCGTTTATTCTGTGTCTGTGCTGTCCTGCGTTTAGGTAGAGGCCTTGCGACGGGCTGATCACCCGTCAAAGGAGTCCTACCGTCTGTAAAATGATCATGGAACTGAGAAATCAGCCCTACGCTCCAAAGTGGCAGCAAGAGGAGAGGGGACAAAACTTTATGTAAATTTGACGTTCCTAATTAGAACAAGTTTGGAAATACTTAACCTAACTCCTTGGTTAGTTACTATAGGATTCTGACGATGGTGTATAACACACAGAGATATTGGGTTTTCGGACTTTATCCATCGTCCTGGTTTTTAAGATAACTAATAAAAACACGACGTTTCGGAAACTGGATCTGTTTCCGTCCTCAGGTGATTGAGGCTAGCTCTTTCTGAGGGACCCAACAGAATAGGTGTTTTCCCCTCACCTGAGGACGGAAACAAATCCAGTTTCCGAAATGTCGTGTTTTTATTAGTTATCTTAAAAACCAGGACGATGGACAAAGTCCGAAAACCTAACTCCTTGATGTTCAGCGTTCTTAAAAAACTGTCCTCGTGGAGTACCGTGTTGTGGAATGTGACGCAATATTGTCCGCTAGGAGTTAAATCATGTTTCGGAGGAAGGTGCAGCTTCCATCTTCAGTATCGAAGATATGATAAGCAAGTTGCGAGAGCCACAAGTGGAAAATATGATTAGAGCTTACTAAGCATATATTTCACCCCAAAATGGAGGCAATACATTCCTCCGAAACGTCGATGCGCTTCTACCGGACTACACGGCGATATTACTATTCGTAGTCAATACTGTCCCCACCAATGGTATCTCCATCTTATCGTGGTGGTGGGGTTTGAGAACTCCTGAGACTCTGAGAGCTATGCCGGCGGTAGCGTAGCTACTGGTAGGGTCACCCATGCCGGACAGGTCAAGGGGTAGGGGCCAGAGATGAATACCGTGGTCCTCCAGGTTGGGGGTTGGCCGTGAGGCCAATAACCTCAGAAATCCGAGGAAAGTGTAGCCGGACGGACCTATTAAAGATGACCTGGAAAATGTTTAAAGGATTTGAGAATTGGATCTTGGAATGTATTATCTCTTTACAGAGCCGGAGCACTGAGAATGCTACTTGAACAACTAGATAGCTATAAACTAGATATCACTGCTATACAAGAACTGAGGTGGTTGGGTAAAGGAGTCATGGAAAAGAGGGATCATGTTGTACTCTATAGTTGCAGGAAGAAGAGTCACATGTTTGGAACAGGTTTTATTGTTAATAAAAAAAGGAAGCATCTTATTTTAGACTTTCAGGCAAAATGTCACAGAACATGTAGGCTACGAATTAAGGGAAAGTTTTTTAACTATAGCCTTATTTGTGCATATGCCCCAACTGAAGATAAAAGTGATGAGG